GGGGCGCGGGGCCGGTCCGCCATGAACAGCGTCGGCGAGGCCTGCACGGAACTGAAGCGGGACTACGACCAGTGCTTCAACCGCTGGTTCGCCGAGAAGTTCCTGAAGGGGGAGGCCGGCGCCGGGGGCGACCCCCGCGTGCAGCTCTTCAAGCGCTACCCGCCCTGCGTCCAGGTGAGGACCCCGGGCGGGCCTCGGGCCGGGCCCGCTCTCGCTCCCCGCGCTGCTCGGGGGTGGCGGTTCCCCGAGGATGCTCGGCCCAGCCGCCCAAGGCGCCGCGCGTCCGGCGGTGTCTCAGCTGGCTTGCGCTGGGCGGGGGCCTCCCAGAATCCGGCTGGATCCTGCCGAGGGTTTTCCGGGCAGCGTCCTAGGAGTGATTTCGCACCGGCTTTGGGGGGAAGCAGACAACCAGATGCGGCGCTGTCTGCTGGTGTTTGCACGAGGGCCTTCCGCAGCTCGCAGCTGACTGGACTGTAATTTACTCAGCTGGACGTATTTGAAACGTGATTGGCAGTGATGGGTCATTGGGTCAGGCAAACCCAGTACAGTATTGGGAATGATGACTAAAGGACTGCCAGTGCCTCGTGGCAAATCTGCAAATCTGAAAAAAATATGTTCTGCTTTTCTACAGTTTACACATGTATCTCAAGGTCGTTCTGGGCTTTTAATGCTTGCTATAACTTGACATGTGTTCTTTGAGCCTCCTTGGCAACTTAAAATATCCTTCATTTGTTTCAGAAAGCTATTAAGGAGAAGGACATACCCATTGAAGGCTTGGAATTCATGGGCTCCAGCAAAGAAAAGTCTGAAAACTCTTCATAAACCTGATGACGGCTGCAATTCGACCCTCTGGAGGCTGTAAAACAGCCAAACAAGGAACTCTCACTAGTAACCTGTTAGTGTGAGTGGGGAGATACAGGGTTCCTCCTCCTTGCAATGTCTGTCTCATCAATCCAGTAGCTACTGCTTCATTTCCACTGTTACTGGAAAATGTTTTTATCATGACTGCCTGTACTTCACTTCCATGTGAAAAAGTAAGTGTACCCCATTGAAATTTTGGACTTTTTCAACATACAGATATTTGATCTTCATTTCAACAATATTGATAAAGGGGATACAATATAACAAATATCATGTACCATTTAAATTTTGTGGTCTATTGTGTAATTTACATAAACATAAATGCAAATTTCACATGTGGAAAAAGTAAGTACAACCCTACATTTATCACTACCTCAAATACCTAAAATTAGAATTAGGTGCACCGGATCAGGTGCAGATGATTAAAACATCATTAGAGAGGACCTTGGAGGAACCTGTCTTATTGAAGCCTCAGACATTTAATGTGATTTGCTCTTTGTTGCTGAGGTGTGTGATATCACCATGCCTAGATGGAAAGAGCTCTCTCAGCCCTTCAGAAAGGAGGTTATAGATGCCTGTGAGTCTGGGAAGGGATTTAAAAAGATCACCAAGCAATTGGACATCAGTCATTCCAATGTCTGGAAGATCATCTAGAAGTAGAGGAGATTTCAAACAATGGCTAGCTTGCCCAGGCCAGACCTTTGCTGGTCAATGACCAAAATAAAATGACTGACTGACTACCCAGGCCAGCCCAGGCTGTCCCACCATTCAGCCCAAGAGCAGAATGCAAGATGCTGAAAAAAGTCCCTAAGAACCCCAGAATTTAATCAAGTGACCTTCAGGTAGCTTTTGCCACTATTGATGTCAGAGTGCATGAGTTTACCATTAGAAAGAAGCTGAACAAATTGGATCTATGTGGGAGGTGTGCCAGGAGGAAACCTTTGCAGTCCAGAACAAGACTAAAGTTTGCTCATGAAACTTAAGTGTCATGGCCCAGGACTCAAACAACTCTGAGTCTGAAGCTGCTCCAACTGAACCAGCGGAATGTCAGCCTCAGGAGACACCAAGCCAGGAATCATCTGAGGGTGGTCAAAAACCTCAGAATAGCTGAAGCAGTCAGAGCATGAGGCATGGCCCCCCCAGCACTCGGACTTGGTGAGAAGAGCAGAGCAAGGGTGCTCAGTGAGGCTCCTTGTCAAGCAGGGACATGCCTGTCCCAATTAAAGACAGCTGGCTGCAAACTGGGTTAAGAGGCAGCTCTGAACTGTGTTTCCTTGCTGGAAATAGCTGTCTGATTTCCTGTCCTGGTGTGTTGTTCCTGTGAATTCTGCTCATGTAAGAAACCTGAAACTCTGGCCCTCGGACTGGCTGACGAGCCTGGCTTGGCGCTCTGACCTCTGGACTGAATCTTGACTACTCTTGCCTGTCCTGTGGAAAGTGAGACTACTCGGCCAACCCTTGTCTTCAGGCACTCTGATTTATCTTACTTTGTCTGCTCAGCCTCGGGTAAATTGCTTATCACCAAGCAACTGCATGTGTGTGTGTGTCTGAAACCTGAAACAGGACACTAGGCAAAGACCAGAGCTGCTGAAACAACGTGCTCTGAACAGACGAGGCAGAGAGAGGGTTATTTGGCCACAGTAACAGAAGACATGGCAAAAACCAAAGACAGCATTTATTTGTTTATTCAATTTATATAGCTGCCCATCATATGTGGCTCTGAGTGGCTCACAAAGTTAACATTTCACAAGAACTTGATACCGACTGTAAAACGTGGTGGTGGATGTGGTAAGGTTTGGGGGTGCTTTGCTGCATCAGGGCCTGGGCAGCGCATCGTCATGCAATCCGCTATGAATTCTTCATTGTACCAGAGGGCACGTGAGGATAACGTGAGGGCATCTATCAGAAGACCGAAGCTCAACTGAAGGTGGACCGTGCAGCATGACCATGACCCTAAACATTCCAGTAAATCCATCAAGGAATGGCTTAGAGAGAAGAGAAATGGAGGGTTCTGAAATGGCCAGTCAGCGCCTGGATCTAAATCCCATCGAGATGCTGTGGGGTGATTTGACAATGGCTGTGCATGCAAGAAACCTCTCCAACACCACACAGCTGAAAAAATTCCTCCCAGTCAATGTCAGAGCCTGGTAGACAGTTATAAGAAACGCCTACTTGAGGTTGTTTCTGCCAAAGGGGCAATACCAGGTATTAGAGCTGAGGGGGTACTTACTTTTTCCACAGAATGGAAAAAATGGCATATCTTGTTAATTTTTTGTTGAATAAATGATTGCAAAGTCAATTTTTCATAGGTTTTTTTTGTTCAATTACATCACCTTTATATACTGTGTGAATGAAGATAAAACATTGATATGTCTGCAGAAGTTAAACAACTGTACATGGGGTGTACTTACTTTTTCACATGACTAGAGCCCATCAGGGCTCTGAGCTTCCCTCTAAGGGCCAAGGCAGGTGGATCAAAGTTATGTGGTAGTTACTGGGGCTCCAACATGTTTTTCTGAGGCCTGCAGTTTAACACCTTGGTGGGGAGCAAGTAGAAATGCTTAGAGCTCCTGGATCAGTTGCCTCTCTTGAAGAATTCGTGCCCACCTGTGTAAAAAAAGGAGCATTCCTGTCTGGCTGGCTAAGGTGGTGCGGATGCCAGTGGGCCCCCCGAAGAGGCCCAAAGAGGCTTCCTCAGATTCCACATCTGCAGCCCCAGAACGTTGCCCTTGGATCTAAGTCTGGGCGGAAGTGGTGCCTCTCGGACAGCGGCTCATGGCGCTGCCTTTCAGGGCTTGGCTAGCGGAGGAACGCCAGGTGGGCATCCTCTGGACACCCCCTAGCTGGGTTTGCCCAGCAGGCAGTTCTGTTGTCCGGTTCGTTTGGCCTCAGCTTGGTGTGACCTCTGAAGTCAGCCACTGTGATTGGCAAAGCGTAGTAGGTTTGGGCTTAGTGCGCTGTGCAAATCCAGCCAAGGGAGCTTCTTACCCACTCTGTGGCGTCGTGCCTCGTGCTGTGGCACTTGAGGGGAGCAGTCCCAGGGTTAGGGACTCTGAGACTAATTCAGAGGAGGGGAAAAGGGGATCTGTAGGGAGAGGCAGCTGACCGCTCTGCCCAAGGCTGTCACACAGGCCTCCTTCTCAGGCTGCTGCCCTCCGTAGCCTGGTCCGCGTTCGGAGTCTGGGGACGGAAGGCTTTAGCAGGACCGGGCAAAAGACCCTCAGCAGCCTCTCTCTTCCTCCCTCCTAGATTGGCACGTGTGGGAAAAGGAACATGAGGGAAGAAGCGATGCCCTCTCCATCTGCCGAGCCGCCTCCAGCCCACGGAACCTCTGGGATGGGGACCGTGCCAGACTCCGCGGCTCCGCCCTCCCAAGGACACCAGCGGTGCCTTTCCAGCTGATCTGACCTCCGCTGGTGGAGGTGGCGGCCTCCTGTGCGCAGACCCTCCGGCTCGATCTCCCTGCAAGAGCAGCCGATCAAGCCGAGAGTTCGCGGGGGGGTCCTCCATCTCCAGGCGGCCCGGAGCACATCATGGGGCAGAGTGACAGGTCTGTTGTTGACTTCCTGCACATCGAGTAGCTCTCCTGTTTGCCTTTTTGCCGTAGGGACAATTTCTGTGTTTCTACTACTGCATTTGCTTTTAAAGAAAGGCAAGTACCCCCCCCTTTTTTTTTTGACAAAGGAAGGTTTGCAAAACTGTTTTACAGCTCATGAAGCAGGTTCTTACTTGTTAATAAAGCTAGAAAATAAGGGCAAAGTTTGCATCTTCAGTTGCAAAGAAGTTGTTTATTTTCCTTACCTAAATCACCCAGTATTTAAATGAGTTCCCTTTTAAATTTCTGCCTCTAATACCATGAAAGAAATTCTAGAAATGAAATAATTAGATATTTGACATAAGCATTAATAAATCCTTACCAATTCTGAAGGCCAAACTGAGTTTGGCCTTCAGTTAAAGCAGTTTGAGCTGGTTTAAAGTGCCTCAACTTTCCTAACATCTTTAAGAAAGCTGGATCCAGCATGATCTTGGTAAATGCTTCTTGCAGCAGAAAAGTCCTCTTTTCAAGAACGCTGCTGCTTTTTCCTGTTAACGCTGTCATTGAGGCAGCAAGACTTCAAAAACTTCAGACTCTTAATATAGCAGGAAGCTCTGAATCCCAGCCTGTGTCACTTGCACAGGCTCCTTTCCAGCAAGCATCATTGCCTTGAAAAGAGTGTTCCCGCAGTTGCAGGGTCCACTTTTTTCCAGATCAATAGAATGTTGATCCATTGGTTGAAGCAGGAATTGACTGACTGGCTTGTCGCCCGAGCCTGACATCGTGGCCTGAGAGGGGGACTGGCCAGGGTCGCCCAGCTGGCTTTCATGCCTATGGCGGGACTAGAACTTGCTGTCTCCTGGTTTCAGGCCTGGTCCTTTACCACTAAACCAAACTGGTTTTCCTATTGCCTTTGAAAGTGTTTCGAAGAAATACCCCATTCTTTTGTAGGTACAGGAGTAGGTCTAGCATCAGCATGATGGAGCAGATTCAGGCTCACTATAGCAAACTCCATAATTTTATCTTCAGTTTTAGAAAATGGATTTTGAGAGGGAAGCCCTTAGTGGGAGAGCACTGGACTAACCCTCCCCCTGGACCCACCCTGACAAAATACCCTTTTGCAATGCTTTACTCTCTCCCAGATTCACCAGGAAACGCAGCAGCAGCAGCTCTGCAAACGTGCCAAGGCAATCTAGAACTCACTTGCCTGTGTATAATGGAAAAAGAGAAAAATCTTTGGAGACTGTCACTGGAGATGTGGAAATAGTTTTGCAGGAGAAAGTGCCTTACAACATGATTGAGCAGTTGAATGTGTGTTCTGGTATGTGCAATAATGGAAATTAAATTAGGAGAATAAAATGCAAAAATAGAAGTGACTTGTGACTTGGCTTTAAACTGGGGATTATGTATTAGACAGCCTGACAGAAGACCTGTTTCTACATCATCATAATAGCTATTTATCCAGGAGAAATCATGGCAACTTGATATTGGAATTCCACCCTCAAACTGATCATACAGCTTTGGCTTGAACAGAGTGGAGGTGCTCCAAAACTACCAGAGGGAATATCTGTTACTAGAGCTGCATGATCCAAAATGAATAAGGGCCACATTTCCTCCGATGGGACAGTCTGGAGCTAGAACCTCCTCCACCCCCATTCTCTTTACTAATATCTCCCTCCCAAGGGAAAGTTACATTTTGATCCCCCAGGCCAACTGCTGCAACAGGGTGATGCGTCTCCTGCTAGTCTTTCTGCAGCTTTTAGTACATTAGTACAGCCACCTACTAATACTGTACCCTGCTCCCCTTTGGTCCCAGAGACGTATCTCACCACAAAAATAAAGATCTGGGTAAGATGCAATTACATACAACAGCTATTTATCACATTGTGAATTTTTTTTTAAGCAGTACTGGGTCTTTGAAAGGACTTCAGATGTCATGAAGTTCAGCCCCTGCTTGGGGCAGGATCTGCAAAATTTTGGGCGGAGGGTTCTCCAGCCTCTGAAGACTTCTGGTAAAGAGGAACTTTAAAAGGCAACCTATTAGGATGGTTGACAGCGCTGACCATCAGGAAATTTCTCCTCGTATCTAAACAAATCTTTCTTAGAATCTAATTCAACCTACTGATTCTGGGTCTGCCCCAGGTGTAACAAAATACAAGTCTGCTTTCCCCTTTATATGACAACACTTTACATATTTGAAAGCTCCCATCATATTTCCCCTCAGTCTTCTCTCTCTTTAGGATAAACACCTGGGTCCTTCAACTGTTCCTCTGAACTTACTCTAGCTTTTGGTGTCCATTTTAGACTGCAGTGCCCAACCTGAGCAGAATGTTCTAAGTGGGTCTGACCAAGGCAGAGGAGAGCAGGGTAACTGCTTTCTGTGATGTGGATTCTTTGCTCCTGTTAATGCACCCCAAAACAGCATTTGCCTTTTAGTAGCTGTGCCACATGATTCAGCACTAAATATTGTTGAAAAATTAAATTACCGTTGCAAGATGAGAATGTCTGCTGTCACTAAAATGACTGGTTACTCATTTCCTTTCAACTTCCATACTGGAAACTTCTTCAGAAAATAATTTGCTCTAATTCCAAACAGTCTTGTCCAATACCGGTTTCTACCCCATTTTCCCTCCCTACTCAGAAAAACCTTAATAATTTGAGCACCACTGCTTCTCTGCACAAACAGTGCTGCTTAGTTTTTCCTCTAAGGCTCAAAGATGTGCCTCCCTAGAAGTACTAAAATAAAACGGTATTGTTCTAAAGAGTTAAAAAAATAAAATAAAAAGTTTGGATACAATACTTTTATTTATTTCAGGTGACTTCTACAGGAAGAACATTAACTGCAAGAAGTCAGAATAAACAACACAGGACATGTATATTATGGGTCCCAGCCTTGATTCTGGTCCAGCTACCGTTAATGGTCCGCGCTGAGGCTGTGGTCCGCTTGCTTAATCTTCATACCCAGTTGGGAGGGCATTGACATGTGGGTTATGGAAAAGGCTGTGGTTCCCATCACCCCAAGGGAAGGGCTGCAAAGAAAAGAGAGATGGTAGTCTGAGCTGCTTAAATTACATAAGGTAAGATCTTTATAATGGCTTTTTGACCAGCAGGGTGGCAGCAGCCTGCCAATGTTACCTGATCTCGGAAAAGCTAAACCTGGTCAGATGTAATTAGTACAGAGATGGGAGACCACTACAAAATCCCCAGGGCTGTAGACTAGGCTGAGAAGTCAAAAAGGGGGGGGGGGAATTCTCAGAAGGAATGGCAAACAACTTCCACGCTGCAGCCAGGAAAACTGCAAGGATATTTCCATGAAGTCACCAGGAGTCAAGCTTGACTCAAAGGAGCCTTGTTTTCTATACTAAGAAATATGGTAGATGATTTTAAAAAATACTCTTCCAAAAATCAATCTCAGATGATCTTGTGCAACCAAACGTGCAGAACAGAGGGTTCATTTAGTAATAATACAGTGATTTTTTTTGGAACTCGCATCCACTGGGGTATATCAGGAATAAACTGAACATTTTATAGCCTCGTTTTCACCACTTCAGCTCAGAGAGAGAGAGAGAGACAGCAATTGGGCCAATGAAGATGCACAAGGACCATATGTACAATTAATGAACAAACTGGATGAGGATCTGAAATATTTTTTTATGAGCTGGAATGAAGCTCACTTCTCATCAAAATTACAACTCTGAATGTCTCACCCTTAAAATTTGTTCTGAACTAGTAACAAGAGTTCACAATACTAAACAACTATAATCAGATTCCCAATAGGTAGGCAATGTGATCCTCACCCAATTGCAAAAGCACTTTGCAAGCATTCCACTTGAGCCTCATACAAGTCTAAGACTGTTATAGGAAGGGAAATATCAGATGAAAGACAACGGATGTCCAGACCATCATTTTGGGATCTGACCCAATCCATCTAAACCCAGTTTTATTGCAGTCCACTACAGTCCTCAACAGATTGCATACAACAAGGTCCAGGAACAATGCAAATTCAGTACCTTGGTCCGGATGTAAAGATGCTTGTAAGGAATAAACTCTGGCCTTTCATGCTCCTTGTCTTTCTTCAGGTAGCAATTTAGCTGGCAGACAGCAACTCCAGGAAGAGCAACCACAAAAGACAAGATTTTCCATGTACGAGCTAATTGATTGAATTCAAACACAAGCAGAACGTCAAGGAGTGTTATTTCTTTGTAATAAATTAAAAACACAGGACCAACAGAATCACTACCTGAGCATCAAGGTCTTTAAATTCACTGTATAAATTGCCCAAATCACTGTGATTTCAGATAAATCTGCAACACTGCAATGAAAAATTGCTGCAGAAGGACAGCTTATAACTGAACTGAAAATGGACCAGGAGGAAGAAAAAGTGGAAAGTGCTAATTAGTTTGGAGGTACTTTTTGATTACACAGTGGCTCAGTTCACAAAAGATGCTAAGCTAAAATCAGGCTGCTTTGTGATTCGGCCTTTTGTGTGACTTGGCCAGTAACTATTTTAACTTCCTACATGGCAATTCATCTCTAGACCAGGAAGTCCCAAGTTGAAGCCTCACTGCTGCAATAACTTCCTGCTTAATGTCAAGATAACCCTTTCTCCACCCCAGCCCCTCCTTTCCACTATCAGTCCCAGAATAATATCAGCAAAGGAAAAAGAACAACCCCGACACCATGACAAGAAATCCAGTTATAAAGGGTTAGTGTCAGTGTTTTGTAAATAGGTCCACTAAAGGTCATTCTCAGAATGGCACAATTTCTGGCCATCAGAATGAAGACACTTCTTTAACCGGCATCACTATTCTGTCATCCATGTAATTTAGCACCTTACATTTTTCCTGTTCTATATTATTATTATTATTATTATTATTATTTAGATGTTATAGCCATCCCACTCCAAAACACTCTTGAGCCCATACTGTGAAATGCTTCCTCTCTTTATGAAGCATGTGTGCTTTTTGGAAACCCCTAAATTGCTGTGTAAATGTAATACAATGAAGTGTACCTAGAAGGCTTCTTCCAGCGTGATGGCTATATTCACACCACACGCTTAACCGGTTTACTACATTGACCCATTTCCCACATTCACGCAATCCACTCAACCACAGTCTAGCTCAAGCGGCTCAGACTGCACAACGTGCTAAGCCGCGGAAAGCTAACCACGGCTAATGCTAACCCAGTTCGGTACCTTGTGCACGCGCTGCCCCGGGAGCTCGGCCTCCCACTGTAGGCAGCCAAGCGGGGAAAGGGAGCCCTCCAGCTAACGCTCCAGAAGGGCAAGGACACGAAGGCCCCTTCGACCCCTCGACTCCCTGGCAGCGGGAGGACC